AATGAACAAGACACTGGTTCAGCCTCAGATGAAGTATTGTGTACAGTTCTGGGCACAATATAGACAGGATGTGAACCCATGAAATGCGTGCAGAAGAGGCTTACGGAAATAGTTCCAGGGTTGAGAAACTTCAGAGATGAAGATAGATTGGAGAAGTTGGGACTACTTTCCTTGGTGAGAACACTAAGATTTGCTAGAAGTTTTTTTAAATCCTTGAGGTGAAGCAGAGGGGTAGTGGGGCTAGACAGAGTAGATAGAGAAAAATTGTTCCTTCTCGTAAAAGAATTGAGAATGAAAGGGCACAAATTTTTTGCAAAAAAATTCACAGTAATCAGGATCTGGAATGCACTGCCTGAACGTATGATCAAGGCAGATTCAAGAGGGTGCTGGATGATCACTTAAATAGAAAAATTTAAATAGAAAAAAATGTGCAGAGTTATGGGGGAAAAGGCAGGAGAATGACACTTGAATCATAATGCTCCTTCAGAGAGTCGGTGCAGACACAACGGGCTGGATGGCCTCCTGCATCATAACAACTGTGTGAGAGAGAACCCTTGAATCTGTTTCATTTTGAAGTATGAAATGTTGGTACATACACACCTATTAATCAAACTGCCTGTTAAATAGGTAACCACTGCAACAGTCTGCCAACTGTACGACATCTTACCATTTTATATCAGACCAATTTGGAAAATGTGTCACAAATGGCTTCTTTAAAAAGGATAAAATGTGGTAACTTTTTTTGTACAAAAAAGTGCCTGTTTTACAGTAGTTTAAAGTCAAAGTCTCTTTCGTTCCTGAGCCACATTGTTTTACCATTCATATTATAAATCCTCTAAATTGAGTTTATTTTCCAATCACCTGAATTAATTCCCTCTCAAATGAAAACAACCTGCTTCAGTGGCACATTCTCCAATATGGTTATGAATTAACAAGCAGGCTAAGAATTCTGCTGAGAAGGCTTTGACCCCAGAACTATTTGTTCCTCAAACTCCAATTATCCCATCCTATGTACATTTATCCTTTTGCCTATACAGAAATCACAAAATGTGTCTTATGCGCTTCAGAGAGGAAATCTTACCTGTACTCATGCTGACTTTTTTTTTGCCTCATTAGGAATAATTTTGCCTCCAAGATCTATCATAAGTATTTACACTAAGTCAATCTTTGCCAGAACCTTAAACTACAGAACTGATTACCTCATTCAACTTTCCTATCCGCAAACTATGGACTTTTCAAACCAACTCTCCAAATTCTTTCCAACTTTGGTGCTGTGTTGTAGAGTATGCTTTGGTTTCTTTAACTGGGGTTCATATAAATTCCCTCCTTCCCTGTACTTAAAAGCATCCTCAGTTAAGCTCCATCCACAGCTTTGTGTCCTGATTCCTTGGCCTTTGCCAAAAACATCCCAGAGGTGTTGGGAGGCGTACAAGATTGGTTCAAGACAAGGCTGGTTGCCAGTTTACCGTCCCTGCTGGTGAAAAGCTCTTTTTACATCTGCCTGGCATCCAACCTTGCAACTCAGCAGAAATTAGGAATTCAGTGTATAGATATTCACAGATTTAAACCTAGCCCTACCAACATGCCATAGCACTGGATGTTGATGCTCCTGGCAGAAGAGTTATGTTCGCTTTTGAGCCAGTGCAGCAATTTTGCAACTTTATAAAAACAAAGATAGAACGCCTACACCACAGAAAGCCATTCAAGCCCATCATATCCCTGCTGACTGTATGCAAGATCAACTCAGCTAGTCCCACTCCCCCACAACCCTGCATATTTTCTCTCTCCAGAAGTCTGCCTAAATTCCTTCTGAAAGCACTGATTGACTTCTTCTCCACCACACTTTCAAATCGTAATCCTGCACTGAAAAAAGTGTTTTTCATCTATTGACTTTATCTTTTTTCCCAATCACCTTAAATTCTCCCTATCTTGTTAGATCTGAGCTGCAATATTGTGTACAGTTGGGGGTGCCATGTCATAGGAAAAATGTGAACGCAGTGGAGACAGTTCAGAGGCAATTTACAAGAATGATTCCAAGAATGAGAAGTTTCAGCGATGAGCATAGATTGAAGAAGTTGGGACTGTTCTCCTTGGAGAGAAGGCAGCTGAAAGGAGATTTGATAGAAGTTTGCAAAATCATAATAGGGTTTCAGAGCGTAGATGGGGAGAAGTGGTTCCAAACCATAAAAGAAAAAGGATTGAGAGATCATAGATTTAAAGTGAGATGCAAACAAAGTAAGTGAGAAAAGAAGATTCCAGACAGTGAATAGTTAGGGTACGGAATGTACTGAAAAGGTGATGGAGGTAAGTTCAACTGAAGTATTCACAAGGACATTGGATAATTATTTGGATAGAAATGGTGAGCAGGGATATGGGGGAAAAAGCAGGAGATTGGCACTAGGTAATAGAACCAGTGCAAGCATGATGGTCCAAATGGCCGCTTTCTGCGCCATAACAATTGTGATTCTATCTACTCAGTCAGACATGTTCTGAATACCCCCAAATCTCATCTCAACATTGTTTTCTCTAAGCTTCCATCCACAAATTGAAATTCCTTATCTGTAGAACCACTTTCAATTTTTTTTCTACACCCTGTCTAAAACTTTAACATCCTCCATAAAGTGCAGAGTCTGGAATCGGACAAAATACTCTACTTGACCCTGGATTAGCTCTTTAAGCAGGTTTGTCTTAAGTTACTTGCTTTTAAAGTTAGGATCCTGTATGCCTTTTGTTAACCACTTTCTCAACTTGTCCAGCCACCTTCAGCAATTTGTGTACATGTACCCTGGAGGTGTCTGATGTAAAAGAACAGGAAATCCTGCGTGAACTTTCTCTTTCCCAAGCCCAATGCGAGCCCAAGCCCAGTGTCTTATGTGATATCAGCAGAAAGCAAAATAATCAGTCCTGGAACCTCTCAGGTAACTTGGTCACTACAGTTCACTGCCACACTAGACAGTAGACCTAACAATTGAGCAACCAGAAAAAAACCTATTCAAAACCTTCCATAGAATCACTGATGTTCACAGAACAGGAGGTGTCTGTGAATCCTCTAATGCCTTTGGAATGTTTCTACCATGCTGCTCTCTCCCTGTAGCCCTGGATCTTCCTCAGTCTCAAATATTAACCCACTCTTACTTTGTACAATGACCTTGAAGTGCAAATACTCCCTGGAGTTAAAACAAAATGCATGTCCCAACAGCTGGACAACATCCCAACAAGATCAATAAAGAGATCCGAATATTTACCTAGATGATTCTTTCAAATAACCCCCCATGAATAATCTGTCAGCTTAATATACTCCGAGCAAGACACAAACAATGTGGGAACAAGGCATCAGGGCAGAAAAACCCCTCCCTTGTTAGAACCGAATGAAATTATGCATGTCTGCTTATTCTCTTCAAAATACCTCCAAACTGGACACGTAATTCAGGTCACAGCCGCAACTACACCTGATAATTGTGGCACAGTACAGCAGTGAACACTAATTGTCCCCATTTTCTCACCCCCAGGAGTGGTAACTTCTGCTATGGCTCCATAGACACCGTACTAGCAAACAACTATACCTCGCCTCAAGTTGCCATTTTCCAGGTGCAAGCACAGATTGCAGAATGGCAAGGTATTTAACCATAAGGATGATCACAGCTAATATTGTTCCCTTCCACCTCCAACCCCAACAACATCTACACTTGCTCACTGAAGTTAATTAGAGTTCATTAGATTAACAGGCATGATTAATACTCCTCTATGTTGGCCAGGAAACTATTCTGGCAGGGGTTCCATTTCTTGGATGTATTTTTGAACAGTTGTTGGTGGGATTGAGTTCAGCAGGTGGGCTGAGACCTTACAGTCTAGGCCGGGCAGGAGGACAGTTTTCAAGGTCATATCAATCAAATTAACATGGCAGGACACAAACACTCAACCATAAAGTTTTAGTCCATTACTATCATTATACTCCCCAGCAACCTTATTCCTTAAGCTTGAATGAATTTACATTCAATTTCAGCCACGCAAACAATCCACAATGAAGACTGCTTTATAAATACAAAAGGTGGTACTGGGAAAAGCCTATTCAAAACAATTTGCCACCCTATCCCTGTAACCCTGCATTTCCTATGGCTAATCCACCTAACCTACACATCCTGGCCACTATAGGCAATTTAGCATGTCCAATCCAGCTAACCTGCACATCTTTGGACTGTGGGAGGAAACCAGAGCACTCGGAAGAAACCAACGCAGAGAGGCGAAGAACGTGCAAACTCCACATAGACAGTCGCCAGAATTAACGAATGGGGACTTGTCTGCTATGTACAGTATGGTTAAATTATGCCTTTAAATAGTTGAGCCATTGGGGAGCCAAATGCATGTAGATATGTGTGAATAGAATGCAGTGATGCCTAACAAGATCCAACATGAACTCAAAAGTTATGATGCCTGAACTCCAGTAAGTCCAACAAAATTAACACTAATTACTTGTCTATATTTAGGATAAATTATGTTTTTTGACTAACAGATATAATCAACAATGTGGATAAAGTGGCATTTTGTGTAAGACAATGAATGAAAAATTTAACAGTCACCCGATAGCATTTTTAGAAGAATTTCAATAGACAGAACAAAGCAGATTCACAATCAAGTACTTGAGATGACATTAAAACTGCAAAGTAGACCTGAAGTAGGTTAGTAAATTTCATCAGAATTCCGAAGATTTTACCTTAAATTCATATTGGTACTGGATACCAATGAGTTTTGCTACAAAAACAAAAACAAAAACAAAAACAAATTGATGGAAAAACTCAGCAGGTCTGGCAGCATCTGTGGAGAGAACTTTGTAAGCAGAAAGCAAACAATCAGTTCTGGAACCTCTCAGGTAACTTGGCCACTACATTTCATTTCCAAACTAGACAGTGCACTTATCAGCTGTGCTATCAGAAAAAAAATTCAAAACCTTCCATAGAATCATTGAGGTTCACAGAATGGGAGGCAGCTCCACTGTACATTAAAAGGAGGTTTTATTTGAAGTCTATTTCTGAATACAGTTTTTCAAACCAACAATGGAACTGTTTCTTTTTCAAGTAAGGGTCAGTCCGTCATTTTTACTGGCTGTTTGGAATGCACTATATACATGAATGTCTGTGCAATATTAAAGTCAGGAGGCAGGCCACCCTCTTTGTGCATCTCCACATGTTTAATCATAAGGTTCAAGGTGGGACAGTATTTCTGGCAAACCGTGCAGCAATACATAAGGGCACCTGAATGGGTCTTCAGATGGTTTTTAACAGTCGATCGCCCCCTGAAGAACTTGTGGCACAGTTTGCATTCATAGGGCTTCTCTCCTGAGTGGATTCGGAGATGATACTGAAACTCACTAGAATGGGAAAACCTCTTCCCACAAAACTCACATTCATACCAGTTCCCTTTAGAGTTGGCTTTGCCTTGGTTTGAGGGAAGGGTCAGAACAGTCTCTTGGTGCACACCAGGCACATGTCCATCACTTGTAGATTCATCTGATGGCGTTGTTGTTAACGTCTTTTTGAGCCACTGGTGTGGAGTAGTTAGACCTTTTGTGCCATCTAAGTTATGTCTCTTATGTATCTTCACATGATTTTGATAAGAGGCTTCTAACCGAAACTTTTTATTACAGAAATTACATTCGTATAAATACTCCATACCCTGGTGCGAAGCCATATGTTGCTCTAGAACAGTTCGATCTACAAAGCTATTACCACATACAGAACAGGAAAAGATTGATATATTCATGTGGGATAAAACATGCCACATTAGGCTGCAGACTGATCTAGATGGCTGCTCACAGACACAACAGGAGAGACTTTTCATGTTGAGATGGGAAAGGATATGCTCTTTCACAGCAAGATAGTCTTTAGTCACGGTCTTTCCACAGACAGCACAAAACAGTTCTGTGGGAGAGCCACCAAAATTAGCTTCAGCAGGCAGGATGGTATTTGGTTGGACAATAATGTTAGTATCATGTGGCTTCCCTTTCCTGTGTCCAGCCACTTGCCACTGCGTTACAAATTTCATTTCACACATGTCACATGAGAAGAGAAAAATTCCGACGTGAGACAAAACATGGGTGATTCGAGAGCTCCTGTCAGTGAACTTGGCGCCACACACTGTGCACAGCCCCTCTTTTGCATCAATGTGGAGTTTACCATGTTGCCTAATCATTCCTATGTTGGCTGGTAAGACCTTGCCACATACCTGGCATGGCATACTCTTACCTTCACCATTACTATCCTTAATACAGACAAGATTGTCATCTTCGCTG